TAAGATTTTCCAGGTTGTAAGTGAGATGGTGCTGATTGATAACACTTAAGATTTTCCAGGTTGTAAGTGAGATGGTGCTGATTGATAACACTTAAGATTTTCCAGGTTGTAAGTGAGATGGTGCTGATTGATAACACTTAAGATTTTCCAGGTTGTAAGTGAGATGGTGCTGATTGATAACACTTAAGATTTTCCAGGTTGTAAGTGAGATGGTGCTGATTGATAACACTTAAGATTTTCCAGGTTGTAAGTGAGATGGTGCTGATTGATAACACTTAAGATTTTCCAGGTTGTAAGTGAGATGGTGCTGATTGATAACACTTAAGATTTTCCAGGTTGTAAGTGAGATGGTGCTGATTGATAACACTTAAGATTTTCCAGGTTGTAAGTGAGATGGTGCTGATTGATAACACTTAAGATTTTCCAGGTTGTAAGTGAGATGGTGCTGATTGATAACACGTAAAATTTTCCAGGTTGTAAGTGAGATGGTGCTGATTGATAACACTTAAGATTTTCCAGGTTATAAGTGAGGTGGTGCTGATTGATAACACTTTGTATAATCAACATAAGGTTGTTTCTTCATCAACCTTGGTTAAGTCGTGAATGTTAGAGGTCAAATAAATCTAAATATCAAAGTTATTTTGGGTGAGAACTAGTTGTAAGCCACTTACAATGATGTGTTGAAATTTGATAAATAGACTCTATATATAGCCGTCACTTTTGTGATAAAGGTCGCAAAGATCAGAAAATGTTAACCAGAAGAATAAGATATCATATGTGAAAAACAAAAGTCTTCAAGGTGGTATAAATGTTGTTTGTGTTGAGGTTCAGGGGGGTATTTAGAATGAATCTGTGAGACTATCTTGCTACATGCCATCTTGTATTCACCATATCTGATAGTTATCAAACAGAATGTAACAAAAACAAAACTATACAGAATTAAAACAGTAACTACATATTTGTATCAAGAGTATACAATAATTTCAATTTTCCGCGGTTTGTAGAATAGCGGGAATATTTGTCCTATAGGTACGTGGCACTCGTATAGGTTGAGAAGCATGTCCGGTTTATAGCCGACCAATGAGAATGTTTCGGAAGCATAAGATGTGGTAGGGTTAGTTTGTTAGGCATTCTAGCTTTTGGTCAGCTCAGGAACGGACCGTTTAAATTCAGCATAATGCCATGTAATATAAGGGAAATAATAGCTTGTATAGGGGTAACTCCTGAATGTATGAAGATCGTGTTTTTACTCGTTGTTTAAAAATCCCAGCAAGGTAAACCTGAAGCATTGGGCTGGTACACTTGTCTCCCTAAAATTGGTTTTCAAGTTGTGTGGCAGGCTTGGTTTATTTAGATAAACATGGTCTGAGAGGGGGAGCTAGGGAAGATTGTCGAGTGTGGGTTACACATACAATGTATGAAAAAAATAGATATACATTTATATATACATTAAACCAAGATTCAAATTAAACTGCGCCTCAGTCGTTCCTAAAGGATGAGCAGCTTATTGCATATAAGGAGTTTGTTGTTTATTATACTGAGTAATAAGTAGATAGAGGACATGTGGCCTTATTTGATTAATAGAAGAAATACTGATTATCTCCCTTTGACTATGATAACTAGTGAAAGAATTTTTAAAAAGTCTTTTACTCCGAGAGTGTAAAAGCTTTATAGTTTCTCTGTTAAAAAAGGGGCTATTTTTCTTCCTATCTTTCTTCAGAATCTAAGTAATGATAACTGTCCCAATGTCACTGGTAACATATATTAAATCCAGAGGACTTTTTCCCAAAATGGTTGCCCAAGCTTAGTTACACACACATTAGCTGACTACAGGCTAGCTGTTAGATTTGTTTTCTTCTAAACTTTTTGATATTTTATTTCGTCAGCAGACACTTAAGAATTTTTCACAGACTAATCCTGTGTTCCGCCCTTGAACAACAATATGTTCTCAACATAGTGGGGCTTGTATGCTTCCAAACAAGCTCTTACTAGTATTATATAGTAGTACTGATATATAGCTGGTAGAAATTTGGTAGACATTTATACAGTGTGTGTTAGACTTAGATAATGCAACACTTACTAGTATTATATAGTAGTACTGATATATAGCTGGTAGAAATTTGGTAGACATTTATACAGTGTCTTACTTTCAAGAATTCATATTCAAGTTTGATTTTTTTTTTGGCAAGTGTCAGCGCTAATGAACAAAGTTCAACAGTAATTTTAAAACCAATTAAGATTTAAACAAGAGGCCCTCTGGGCCTGTATAGCTCACCTAGATAAGAAAGCAACTATAGAAAATTATTCTTATGACATAATTTTATAATACTGGAACTATTTCCAAATATTGGCTCCGTCTCAGCAACACCCATCCCTCACTAGGTCCCTTCTTTCTGCTCCCATGAATAGGGGTGGAATTTTTAACATTAATCTCAATTTCTTCAATTGGGCACTATTCCTCTGTCCCCTAAAAGCAACCCTCCATTTATACATGTACAAAATTGCATTTTGAATTGAGTCCCCTTTACCCAAGGATGCTCTACGCAAAATATAGTTAAAATTCCTCCAAATAAGATTTTGAACATTTATTACTATGTCCCCTAATGGACACCCTCCCCTCCCCCTTTGCTCTCAGGGGGCCACACTGGTGAGCTAAAAATTATTGCATGAGAATGTTAAATATTTTGCCATATTTTTGTTTATATAGGTCACCAATGAAGAACTGGATGTAGAGACAGGTCTGCAGACAAATTGTAGTGTCAAACTTCAAACATTTTGGGGTCACACCCTCTATCATAGGGATGACCTTCCATTTGGTATTAAACAGTAAGTGAAAATCACGTCATTTTAACAAATGAGTGTTCTAGCATTGTCTTAAGTTTAGTCAGATTAGACAAGATGTCAAAAGGGAGTCAGATTAGACAGGATGTCAGAATGGAGTCAGGTTAGACAGGATGTCAGAAGGGAGTCAGGTTAGACAGGATGTTAGAGGGGAGTTAGCTAAGACAGGATGTCAGAAGGGAGTCAGATTAGACAGGATGTCTAAAGGAAGTCAGATTAGACAGGATGTCAGAAGGAAGTCAGATTAGACAGGATGTCAGAATGGAGTCAGGTTAGACAGGATGTCAGAAGGGTGTCAGATAAGACAGAATGTCAGAAGGGAGTCAGCTAACAAAGAATGTCAGAAGGGAGTCAGCTAAGACAGGATGTCAGAAGGGAGTCAGATAAGACAGAATGTCAGAAGGGAGTCAGCTAACAAAAAATGTCAGAAGGGAGTCAGCTAAGACAGGATGTCAGAAGGGAGTCAGATTAGACAGCATGTCAGAAGGGAGTAAGATTAGAAAGGATGTCAGAAGGGAGTCAGGTTAGACAGGATGTCAGAAGGGTGTCAGAGGGAGTCAGCTAACAAAAAATGTCAGAAGCGAGTCAGCTAAGACAGGATGTCAAAAGGGAGTCAGATTAGACAGCATGTCAGAAGGGAGTCAGATTAGACAGTATTTCAGAAGGGTGTCAGATAAGTCAGGATGTCAGAAGGGAGTCAGCTGACAAAGAATGTCAGAAGGGAGTCAGGTAAGACAGGATGTCAGAAGGGAGTCAGGTAAGACAGGATGTCAGAAGGGAGTCAGATTAGACAGGATGTCAGAAGGGAGTCAGCTAAGACAGGATTTCAGAAGGGAGTCAGATTAGACAGGATTTCAGAAGGGTGTCAGATAAGACAGGATGTCAGAAGGGAGTCAGCTAACAAAGAATGTCAGAAGGGAGTAAGATTAGAAAGGATGTCAGAAGGGGGTCAGCTAAGACAGGATATCAGAAGAGAGTCAGGTTAGACAGGATGTTAGGGGGGAGTTAGCTAAGAGAGGATGTCTGAAGGGAGTCAGATTAGACATATTGTCAAAAGGTTGTCAGATTAGACAAGATGTTAGAAGGGTGTCAGGCTAGACAGGATGTCAGCAGGGAGTCAGATTAGACATATTGTCAAGAGGTTGTCAGATTAGGCAAGATGTCAGAAGTGTGTCAGAATAGACAGCATGTCAGAAAGAGAGTCAGATAAGACAGCAGGTCAGAAGGGTAACGGATTAGACAGAATGTCAGAAGGGTAACGGATTAGACAGAATGTCAAAAGGGAGTTTCCGTAGACAGTATTTCAGAAGGGAGTCAGGCTAGACAGGATGTCAGCAGGGAGTCAGATTAGACAGTATTTCAGAAGGGAGTCTGAATAGACAGGTTGTCAGAAGGGAGTCGGCTAAGACAGGATATCAGAAGGGAGGCAGCTAAGACAGGATTTCAGAAGGCAGTCAGATTAGACAGGACTTCAGAAGGGTGTCAGGTCAGAAGGGTAACGGATTAGACAGAATGTCAGAAGGGTAACTGATTAGACAGGATGTTAGAAGGGGGTCAGATTAGACAGGACTTCAGAAGGGTGTCAGATTAGACAGGACTTCAGAAGGGTGTCAGGTCAGAAGGGTAACGGATTAGACAGAATGTCAAAAGGGAGTCAGATAAGACAGAATGTCAGAAGGGAGACAGCTAAGACAGGATGTCAGAAGGGAGTCAGCTAAGACAGGATGTGAGAAGGGAGTCATATTAGACAGGATGTCAGAAGGGAGTCAGGTTAGACAGGATGTCAAAAGGGAGTTACCTTAGACAGGATGTCAGAAGGGAGTCTGAATAGACAGGATGTCAGAAGGGAGTCAGCGAAGACAGAATGTCAGAAGGGTAACGGATTAGACAGAATGTCAGAAGGGTAACTGATTAGACAGGATGTTAGAAGGGTGTCAGATTAGACAGGATGTCAAAAAAGGGAGTCAGATTAGACAGGATGTCAGAAGGGAGTTAGCTAAGACAGGATGTCTGAAGGGAGTCAGATTAGACCGGATGACAGAAGGGAGTCAGCTAAGACAGGATGTCAAAAGGGAGTCAGATTAGACATATTGTCAAGAGGTTGTCAGATTAGACAAGATGTTAGAAGGGTGTCAGAATAGACAGGATGTCAGAAGGGTGTCAGAATAGATAGGATGTCGGAAAAAGAGTCAAATATGACAGGAAGTCAGAAGGGAGTCAGGCTTGACAGAATGTCAGAAGAGAGTCAGATTAGACAGGATGTCAGAAGGGAGTCAGGTTAGACAGGATGTCAGAAGGGATTCAGGCTAGACATTATGTCAGAAAGGAGTCAGATTAGACCGGATGTCAGAAGGGAGTCAAATTAGACAGGATGTCAGAAGGAAGTCAGATTAGACATATTGTCAAAAGGTTGTCAGATTAGACAAGATGTTAGAAGGGTGTCAGAATAGACAGGATGTCAGAAGGGTGTCAGAATAGACAGGATGTCAGAAAAAGAGTCAAATATGACAGGATGTCAGAAGGGAGTCAGATTAGACAGGATGTCAGAAGGGAGTCAGGCTAGACAGGATGTCAAAAGGGAGTCAGATTAGACAGGATGTCAGAAGGGAGTTAGCTAAGACAGGATGTCTGAAGGGAGTCAGATTAGACAGGATGACAGAAGGGAGTCAGGTTAGACATGATGTCAGAGGGGAGTCAGATTAGACAGGATGTCAAAAGGGAGCCGGATTAGACAGGATGTTAGAAGGAAGTTAGGTTAGACAGGAGGTCAGAATGGAGTCAGATTAGACAGGATGTCAGAAGGGAGTCAGATTAGACAGGATGTCAGAAGGGAGTCAAGTTAGACAGGATGTCAGAAGGGAGTCATATTAGACAGGTTGTTCAAAGGGTGTCAGACTAGACACTATGTCAGAAAGGTGTCAGAATAGACAGGATGTCAGAAAAAGAGTCAAATATGACAGGATGTCAGAAGGGAGTCAGGCTTGACAGAATGTCAGAAGGGAGTCAGATTAGACAGGATGTCAGATAAGACAGGTTAGACAGGATGTCAGAAGGGAGTCAGAATAGACATGTTGTCCAAAGGTTGTCAGATTAGGCAAGATGTCAGAAGGGTGTCAGAATAGACAGGATGTCAGAAAGAGAGTCAAATAAGACAGGATGTCAGAAGGGTGTTGGGCTTGACAGAATGTCAGAAGGGTGTCAGATTAGATTTCTTTTGCAGTAAAGCTGTTAAATACAACTGTTATTCTTATTATCGTTAACTGCTCTTTAATAATTCAATTATTGTATTCAGTTTTAATGATTAGGAACGCTCAAGTAATAAGCTACAATGTATGTTAGAAATCTCCGCGCGTTATTGCCATGATACATAGGTCTATTGAGACATCACATTAAATCGGATTGAATGATGTCACATTTAGACACGACGCAGAGAGTGCAAAGCTGACCCATGTAATATGCTTTACAAACTCTATAAATCTATATAAAAGTAGTTCCCAATAGGGATATACACACTGAAAAAATATTACAGTTGTGTTACATGGTCTAGTTTGGTCACTCTGTAGATTTCTATCATTTTAGGCGACTTTGTTTCAGAATATAATGTTTACAACTATTAATCAATAAATAACCAAGCAATAAATCAAGAAAGAAATTAACCTCCAAAAAGAGGTGCCGGATAGGTTGTATACTAAACTGTCTCAGTACCATTGTATGAGTAATAACGAGGGAAGATAACTGTGTCCAGGTTACCAGACGTTTACACACAGTTTCGGAAGAGGGTCGAAGATCAGGCCAGAGTAAGGAAGTCTTTTACTATGCCAGATACACTTCAGCCCCTCCCACCTGGTATAGAGGAAGGCCAGGTCCCATCATTACAGGATCTTGGCTTGAAGGGTAACTTCGTTTGCTTCAGTAACATTTTGGTACATGTATCAACACCGAAGTGAATTCTAAAATTGAATATTTATTGATCATTACCGGCATATTAATAACCTTTATGTATTTGTTTTTTTTAAATTTGCTCTGTTATTCAATAAAGTATTATAAAATGTATAAAGTCATTATGTTCCATATCTTACTTAGAGATATATTTCTATAAAGTCGTGATGTTCCATATCTAACTTAGAGATATATTTCTATAGAGTCATTATGTTCCATACCTAACTTAGATATATATTTCTATAGAGTCGTGATGTTCCATACCTAACTTAGAGTTATATGGAGTCATTATGTTCCATATCTAACTTTGAGATATATTTCTATAGAGTCATTATATTCCATACCTAACTTAGAGTTATATTTCTATAGAGTCATGATGTTCCATTTCTAACTTAGAGATATATTTCTATAGAGTCGTTAACAAAATTTAAGAAGCATTAATCTGTTGGAATTATTTGCTGGTGTGAAAATTATTTATGTAAATTCTGATACTTGTATAACTCTTTTGTGTAAAAGGATGGGTTATGTTTCAGCCCCAGCTGAGGACTCGCGTTCGGTGATGTCATTTCGCGGAGGAGAAACTGTTGCCCTTGACAGACTTAACCACTACCTCTGGCAGTCAGACAGTGTGTCAACTTATAAGGAGACAAGAAATGGTCTAGTTGGCTCGGACTACTCTACTAAGTTCTCTGTGTGGTAGGTTATCTTCTCTAGTGGCTGGTCGGGTGGTGCAGTGGATAGCGCACTTGCCTTTCACCAATGCTGCCAGGGTTTGATTCCCCGATCGGACATGAAAAGGTATGGGGTCACCTGCCTTACCACGTGGGTTTTCTCCGGGTACTCTGTTTTCCTTTCACAATAAGACCCCCGCGAGCTATCATCTGGACCAACAAGAGTGATAAATATACGTTGAAATAACTTGTTTCATAATTGTTGTCAAATAAATAAAGTTTATTTTATCTTCTCTAGTTCTGCTGATTTCTTTATATTGTAGTCTCCACACTAGTTCTACCAAATTATCTATATGCTAAATTCTCTTCACTAATTCCACTAAATTCTGTATGGGGCAACTTGATTCTAGGATGCCTTTTGTATTGCTTGACAGGTTTAAGTTAAAGTGTGGAGGCACCAATGCAAACTTCCAGACAAAGTAATCTCAAAGTTTCATTAAGAGTAATTGAGCGTGTGTTTGGCCTTACAAGATCAGTAGGGAGTATGCAGCACAAAAAGAATATGAAAAATGATAGAGTTTGTAAATATATCATTATAGCATGTGTATTAAGGAATATTCATATTAATGCTGATGATGATCTTGAAAAATCACACTTCTGCAAATAATTTATGTGTTGCAATCTTGTGTGCTGCTTTGCCTGTCACTCCAAAACTAGCAAGAAATGTTGACGACTGCTATGTAATGTCATTGTGTGTCCATTTATGGGACACAATCTAGCCATGCCACCTCGGCATTGAAGACTGGCAAGACTGGCACACCAGAATCAAATTTGCCCTTTGTGGTACTCCCTACTTCTTCTCTAAGCAGTAAATTCACAACTCTTGTTGACAGGAACAAGTTATTAATTTCTCTGTGTGAATTCAGGTTTTATGTTGTTGCTGATACCTGTAGGAAATAACATCAATAAAACAGACAAATTTATTTATCAATGCAGTGGTCAAAGTTGATAATTACATGAGGGCCAATTTACATTTTAATATTTTGGGGTAAAAATTAGTTATCAATATAGCTGCAAAGCTTCTTGTGAAACATGAAAAAATAGAAAGTGCATGCTGATACAATTTTATATCTGTAGTGAATGACATGTGTGTCACCTGACAATTAATAAAATTCCCATAGGTATTGTGATTTCAATATCCAACATATACAATGTAAAAATGAATGTTTCTTTCTTCATGTTTATCAGGCTTGCCCATGGATGTATTTCCCCTCGTCACATCTACTGGGAGATTAAACGATACGAAAGTGAACGAGTAGCTAATCAGTCCACATACTGGGTCATCTTTGAGTTGCTGTGGAGGGACTACTTTAGATTTGTGGCCTTGAAGTATGGCAACAAATTGTTTTTTCAAGGAGGTGAGATGGTCATATTTTACATTGCTACAAGTTTTAATATAAAGGGTATTTCCAAGTTTCTTGGAAACTTTTGACTGATTATATATGCTATAAGCAGCAGAGACAAATTTACATAAAAACTGTTCAACGATTCATCTTGTTCCTAATTAAACAAATGATTCTTAGGTTTTGATGTAAAATTGCACAGCATATTTTGTTTTTAAAAGAGACTCATTTGTTCAATATTTGATTGACTTTTGTTCATTATTATTTATTGTGCAGGCAAATTATAGATAATAATAAATATCTCCAAGAATTTGAAGATCATTTGAAAATGAACTGCCATTGCTCTAACTCTAATTATTCATATTCAGGTATACAAGGCAAGACTATTCCCTGGAAACAAGACCAGATGCTACTGAAGTCCTGGACAGGTAGGATTGACAATGTCATTACTCCTCCAGTAAGGTCATGATGGTTTTAAGTAGTGCACCTGTGATGATGTCTGGTGGAAGGGGAGGTAATCAGAAGACTGTGCTTCTCATATTTAGCTTTCCTAGTATGATTGCTTTCTGATATTTAAATAACTTGAACTACATGTATCATCTAACAACATTTTAGCCATTCTGTATCACATTTATGAAAATACGTAAACTTGTCATATACTTGTCATGTGACAATATTTTGATATTGAAAAGCTTGAGGTGGATATTTCATCTTTATTCAGGAGATATGTTCAAAGACCTTTTAAAAAGCTTTCTCTGGGTATGGAATTATAGAACGAAATTATACGATGGTTTTCAATTTCTGTTACAGAAGGAAAGACTGGCGTACCATTTGTAGACGCCAACATGAGAGAGATGGCTGCCACTGGCTTCATGTCAAACAGGGGTCGGCAGGTACAGATCTTATATCGTCAGTTGGGTTAATGTGTCAGTTCTAATTGAACTGAGATACATATACAGTGTGTGTGTTGTGTATTAGATAAGAAATAATATACTAAGTACCACACATAGCATTAATCCTATTCTGACATACCCTTAACATCAAGCTGGCTCCAAGGAGTGAGCTGTGTTTTCTGTAAAAAGACTTCATCTTGAATCATTATGGCTTTTCATGTTATTAGTTATTGGTTTCAGTTTCTGGTTTCATTTATAAAAAAAATATTGGTAAAGTGTATGCTAATATGTTGTACTTATACTCCTTGTCTTGTTTATTTTATAGAAATTATCTACATCTTGAGCAAACAATATTGAACTTATCAGATTTTCTTTCCATCATCTGATGGTGGGCTATTCAAATCACCCTGCGTCCGTGGTCCGTGGTCTTCCCTTAAACAATTCTTGTTATCGGTATTTCTCAAGAAGTACCAGAGGGGTCTTTCTCAAATTTTATATGTGGGTTCCCCTTGGTCCTAAGCTGTGCAGGGCAACTTTTGAGATTGATCGAATAAACAACATGGCCGACAGGCAGCCATCTTGGATTTTGATAGTGAAAGTTTGTTATCGCTATATCTCGGGAAGTACCAGAGGGATCTTTATCAAATTTTTTATGTAGGCCTCCCTTGTTCCCTTGTTGTAGCAGTGCCTGAAATGGACGGTCTCCTGCTTGCCAATGGCGGCTAAAGTCTTGCTCGAGCGACCAAAAGGTGTCAAAAGTGAGGTAGTCACTGGCCCAACAAAAATAGTTTGGGCGACTGTCGAAAAATTTATGTATAAAAGAAATTATAGTCACTTTCACATTAACATTTCACAATTATTTGGTCCACCAATATGTTATTTGGGCCAGTGCTTCAAACTTTTTACTCTCCCCAAAAAAAATTGGGGGGGGGGGGGGGGCAGCCAATGCAGGTTTCCCACTATCCTTTAATGTTCATGATTACTTTTGAAACTGATCAGTTAAACAAAATGGCCTACCGACAGCGATCTATGATTTTTGACATTGAAGGTTTGTTAGTACTATTTCTCAGGAATAACTTGAGGGATCTTTCTCAAATTTGATATGTAGGTTTCCATTGATACCTTGTTGCGCATGTTATATTTTGAGATTGATCATAAAAACAAAATGACTAAAAGTAAATATGTGAAATGAAAAACTCACTTTGAAGGTTGGCTTTCATACACATCAGTAAGTTTAGATCAAAAGTTACCTCAATATGCATTTACTGTTAACATGACTTGATCAAACAGATTAGAGGAAAGAAGAGATCAAAAAGATCGAACTGACAAAGAACTAATGAATGTACAGTGGTGGAATCTGGGATCTCTTGTTTAATCACTCAAGCTATCTCTATTCGAGGCAACCTGATCATAATTTACTCTTGTTTCAGAATGTTGCTAGCTTTCTTACTAAAGATTTAAAACTGGACTGGAGGATGGGAGCTGAGTGGTTTGAATCTCTACTGGTAATTTATCTAGTTTGTAAATTATATGACAGGTACACTTGTAGCTGAAAAATAATAAGTAAAACTTTTCTGTTATTTAACTGAAATTCTCCAATCTATTGATCATTTTCTCTGCCAAAAATGTAATTTAAACATTTTATAGTTACATTGTGTTCATCGATAGTTGTCTTTCTGTCTGTAAACTGTGTTGTCTGTCTCTACAGTGTAACTTTGTGTTTGTTTGTATGTCTGTACAGTGTATTTAAGTTGGGTAAATGAATGATTTCAGATTGACCATGATGTGTGCAGTAACTATGGTAACTGGTTGTACAGTGCTGGTATTGGAAATGACCCGAGAGAGGATCGCAAGTTCAACATGGTCAAACAGGGACTTGACTATGATCCTGAGGTTAGTTGAACATGGTCAAACAGGGACATGACTATGATCCTGAGGTTAGTTCACCCCGATCAAACGTAGACTTGACTATGATATTGAGGTTAGTTCAACCCAGTCAAACAGGGACTTGACTATGATCCTGAGCTTAGTTCAACACGGTCAAACAGGGACATGACTTCAAACAGGGACTTGACTATGATCCTGCGGTTAGTTAAACATGGTCAAACAGGGACATGACTATGATACTGAGGTTAGTTCAACATGGTCAAACAGGGACATGACTATGATACTGAGGTTAGTTCAACATGGTCAAACATGATCCTGAGGTTAGTTCAACACGGTCAAAGAGGGACTTGACTATGATCCTGAGGTAAGTAAAACACGGTCAAACTGGGACTTGACTATGATACTGAGGTTAGTTCAACACAGTCAAACATAGAACTGACTATGATACTGAGGTAAGTTCACCCAGATCAAACGTAGACTTGACTATGATCCTGAGGTTATATTAGTTCAACACAGTCAAACAGGGACTTGACTATGATCCTGAGGTAAGTAAAAAACGGTCAAACAGGGACTTGACTATGATCCTGAGGTAAGTAAAAAACGGTCAAACAGGGACTTGACTATGATCCTGAGCTTAGTTCAACACGGTCAAACAGGGACATGACTATGATCCTGAGGTTAGTTCACACGGTCAAACAGGGACTTGACTATGTTGACTATGATACTGAGGTTAGTTTAACACAGTCAAACATAGAACTGACTATGATACTGAGGTGAGTTGACCCAGATCAAACGTAGACTTGACTATGATCCTGAGGTTATATCAGTTCAACACAGTCAAACAGGGACTTGACTATGATCCTGCGGTTAGTTAAACATGGTCAAACAGGGACATGACTATGATACTGAGGTTAGTTCAACATGGTCAAACATGATCCTGAGGTTAGTTCAACACGGTCAAACGTAGACTTGACTATGATACTGAGGTAAGTAAAACACGGTCAAACAGGGACTTGACTATGATCCTGAGCTTAGTTCAACACGGTCAAACAGGGACATGACTTCAAACAGGGACTTGACTATGATCCTGAGGTTAGTTAACCCTGATCAAACGTAGACTTGACTATGATATTGAGGTTAGTTCACCCTGATCAAACATAGACTTGACTATGATCCTGAGGTTAGTTAACCCTGATCAAACGTAGACTTGACTATGATATTGAGGTTAGTTCACCCTGATCAAACATAGACTTGACTATGACCTGAGGATAGTTTGACATAGTTTGACATGGTCAAACAGGGACTTGACTTTGATCCCAAGGTTAGTTCAACACGGTCAAACATAGACTAGACAAAGATACTGAGGTTAGTTCAACACGGTCAAACGTAGACTTGACTATGATACTGAGGTAAGTATAACACGGTCAAACAGGGACTTGACTATGTTGACTATGATACTGAGGTTAGTTTAACACAGTCAAACATAGAACTGACTATGATACTGAGGTAAGTTCACCCAGATCAAACGTAGACTTGACTATGATCCTGAGGTTAGTTCAACACGGTCAAACGTACACTTGACTATGATACTGAGGTTAGTTTAACACAGTCAAACATAGAACTGACTATGATCCTGAGGTTAGTTCAATACGGTCAAACAGGGACCTGACTATGATACTGAGGTTAGTTCAACATGGTCAAACAGGGACTTGGCTATGATACTGAGGTTAGTTCAACACAGTCAAACAGGGACTTGACTATGATCCTGAGGTTAGTGGTACTTGACTATGACCTATAAGGTTATTTCAACACGCTCAAACATAGACTTGACTATGATACTGAGGTTAGTTCAACACAGTCAAACAGGGATTTGACTATGATCCTGAGGTTAGTTCAACATGGTCAAACAGAGACTTGACTATGATCCTGAGGTTAGTTCAACATGGTCAAACAGGTACATGACTATGAGACTGAGGTAAGCTCAACACAGTCAAACAGAGACCTGACTATGATACTGAGGTTAGTTCAACATGGTCAAACAGGTACATGACTATGAGACTGAGGTAAGCTCAACACAGTCAAACATAGACTTGACTATGATACTGAGGTTAGTTCAACACAGTCAAACAGGGACTTGACTATGATCCTGAGGTTAGTTGAACATGGTCAAACAGGGACATGACTATGATCCTGAGGTTAGTACACCCAGATCAAACGTAGACTTGACTATGATCCTGAGGTTAGTGGTACTTGACTATGACCTATAAGGTTATTTCAACACGCTCAAACATAGACTTGACTATGATACTGAGGTTAGTTCAACATGGTCAAACAGGTACATGACTATGAGACTGAGGTAAGCTCAACACAGTCAAACATAGACTTGACTATGATACTGAGGTTAGTTCAACATGGTCAAACAGAGACTTGACTATGATCCTGAGGTTAGTGGTACTTGACTATGACCTATAAGGTTAGTTCAACACGCTCAAACATAGACTTGACTATGATACTGAGGTTAGTTCAACACGCTCAAACAGGGACTTGATTATGATCCTGAGGTAAGTAAAACACGGTCAAACTGGGACTTGACTATGATCCTGAGGTTTGTTCAACATGGTCAAACAGGGACACAACTATGTCAAACGTAGACTTGACTATGATCCTGAGGTTATATTAGTTCAACACAGTCAAACAGGGACTTGACTATGATCCTGAGGTAAGTAAAACACGGTCAAACTGGGACTTGACTATGATCCTGAGGTTTGTTCAACATGGTCAAACAGGGACACAACTATGATCCTGAGGTTAGTTCAACATGGTCAAACAGGGACTTGACTATGATACTGAGGTTAGTTCAACACAGTCAAACAGGGACTTGACTATGATCCTGAGGTTAGTTCAACACGGTCAAACAGGGACATGACTATGATACTGAGGTTAGTTCAACACGGTCAAACGTAGACTTGACTATGATCCTGAGGTTAGTTCAACACGGTCAAACAGGGACTTGACTATGATCCTGAGGTTAGTTCAACACGGTCAAACAGGGACTTGACTATGATCCTGAGGTTAGTTCAACATGGTCAAATAGGGATTTGACTATGATCCTGAGGTTAGTTCAACATGGTCAAACAGGGATTTGACTATGATCCTGAGGTTAGTTCAACACAGTCAAACGTAGACTTGACTATGATACTGAGGTTAGTTCACCCAGATCAAACATAGACTTGACTATGATCCTGAGGTTAGTTCAACACGGTCAAACGTAGACTTGACTATGATCCTGAGGTTAGTTCAACATGGTCAAACAGGGACATGACTATGATCCTGAGGTTAGTTCACCCAGATCAAACGTAGACTTGACTATGATCCTGAGCTTAGTTCAACGACAAACGTAGACTTGACTATGATACTGAGGTTAGTTCAACATGGTCAAACGTAGACTTGACTATGATCCTGAGGTTATATTAGTTCAACATGGTCAAACAGGGACTTGACTATGATCCTGAGGTTAGTTCAACATGGTCAAACGTAGACTTGACTATAATACTGAGGTTAGTTCAACATGGTCAAACAGGGACATGACTATGATCCTGAGGTTAGTTCAACACGGTCAAACGTAGACTTGACTATGATCCGTCAAACTGGGACTTGACTATGATACTGAGGTTAGTTCAACACCTGAGGTTAGTAAAACATGGTCAAACAGGGACTTGACTATGATCCTGAGGTAAGTAAAACACGGTCAAACTGGGACTTGACTATGATACTGAGGTTAGTTCAACACGGTCAAACAGGGACATGACTATGATCCTGAGGTTAGTTAAACACGGTCAAACGTAGACTTGACTATGATCCTAAGGTTAATTCAACACGGTCAAACAGGGACTTGACTATGATCCTGAGGTAAGTAAAATACGGTCAAACAGGGACTTGACTATGATCGTGAGGTTAGTTAAACATGGTCAAACAGGGACATGACTATGATCCTGAGGTTAGTTAAACACGGTCAAACGTAGACTTGACTATGATCCTGAGGTAAGTAAAACACGCAAACAGGGACTTGACTATGATCCTGAGGTTAGTAAAACATGGTCAAACAGGGACTTGACTATGATACTGAGGTTAGTTCAACACGGTCAAACAGGGACTTGACTATGATCCTGAGGTAAGTAAAACACGGTCAAACTGGGACTTGACTATGATACTGAGGTTAGTTCAACACGGTCAAACGTAGACTTGACTATGATACTGAGGTAAGTACAACACGGTCAAACAGGGACTTGACTATGATCCTGAGGTAAGTAAAATACGGTCAAACAGGGACTTGACTATGATCGTGAGGTTAGTTAAACATGGTCAAACAGGGACATGACTATGATCCTGAGGTTAGTTCACCCAGATCAAACGTAGACTTGACTATGATCCTGAGGTTATATTAGTTCAACACAGTCAAACAGGGACTTGACTATGATCCTGAGGTTAGTTCAACATGGTCAAACAGGGACATGACTATGATCCTGAGGTTAGTTAAACACGGTCAAACGTAGACTTGACTATGATCCTGAGGTAAGTAAAACACGCAAACAGGGACTTGACTATGATCCTGAGGTTAGTGCAAGACGGTCAAACGTAGACTTGACTATGATACTGAGGTAAGTAAAACACGGTCAAACAGGGACTTGGCTATGACCTGAGGATAGTTTGACTTGGTCAAACAGGTACTTGACTATGACCTATAAGGTTAGTTCAACACGCTCAAACATAGACTTGACTATGATACTGAGGTTAGTTCAACACGGTCAAACGTAGACTTGACTATGATCCTAAGGTTAGTTCAACATGGTCAAACAGGGACATGACTATGATACTGAGGTTAGTTCAACACGGTCAAACAGGGACTTGACTATGATCCTGAGGTAAGTAAAACACGGATAAACAGGGACTTGACTATGATCCTGAGGTAAGTAAAACACGCAAACAGGGACTTGACTATGATCCTGAGGTTAGTTAAACATGGTCAAACAGGGACATGACTATGATCCTGAGGTTAGTTAAACACGGTCAAACGTAGACTTGACTATGATCCTAAGGTTAGTTCAACATGGTCAAACAGGGACATGACTATGATACTGAGGTTAGTTCAACACGGTCAAACAGGGACATGACTATGATACTGAGTCTAGTTCTACATGATCAAACATATATTTGACTATGACCTGAGGATAGTTTGACATGGTCAAATATAGACATGACCATGGTAGGATTCTAAGATGGTCAAATGGGGACTTTACTTTGACCCTGAGGTTCATTCTGCATAATCAAACATAGATTTGACTATGATCCTGAGGTTAGTTCACCCTGATCAAACATAGATTTGACTATGATCCTGAGGTAAGTTGTTCAATATTTGTAGAAATTTTGTTTATTTTCTTCGACTAATCAAGATGACATTTTAATGACTTGTGTATTGAAATGATGTTAGGTTTCTGAACCTGAGCCAATATGATGTAAAACATTTGGGTTATGTTTCGGAACCTGAGCCATTATGATGTAAAACATTTTAAAGTTTCGAAAAACTAGTTCCCAAACAGGATGCATGGTTTGTATTGTAGGGAGATTACGTTCGCCTGTGGGTCCCAGAGTTAGAGAAAGTGAAGGGTGGGGCAGTCCACACTGTGTGGACACTCAATCCTGCCACCCTGTCCAGTGCTGAGGTATCCCTAGGAGAAACCTACCCAAATCCTATTGTGGTGGCTCCAGAATGGAGTAGGCACATTGGCAAATCAAAGGTAACCATACTGCAGCTTAAGTCTACCCTGCTGTTTAAATAATTACAAGTATGTAGGGAAGAAACATGGAAACGGCTACATCTACTGATAATAACTTGTTGGATTGTTCATGAAGATAGTTCCTGGATTTGGGTTTCATTTGTAGTGTCTTAATCAAATAAGGTTGGTAATGTGTTTTGTTGATACTGTACTGGCAATGCATGTGTCTGACAGATTCTGTGATGCTGATGCTGGCAATGATACATCAGTGATCTATTTTGACAAATGAAACATTTCTACAAGTCCTGTTCTAATTCAATTCAGTATTTCAATTGAACCTCTCCCTGGATATCTTATCTGGATATATGTAACAGCTACGTATACTCCAGTACTTCTTTTTCCACAGGGAGGAGGAGCACGAGGAGGAGGAAGTGGTAGACCTTCTACACAGAAACAGAACAGGGGGATAGACTTCTACTTCAAAGGATCTCAGTAGAAATATATATAACATCTACAGGATATATCTAAGGATCTCCGTGGTAGTGACATAAAGATAACAGTAGCGTGGACATCTACTTCAAAGGATCTCAGTAGAAATATATATAACATCTACAGGATATATCTAAGGATCTCCGTGGTAGTGACATAAAGATAACAGTAGCGTGGACATCTACTTCAAAGGATCTCAGTAGAAATATATATAACATCTACAGGATATATCTAAGGATCTCCGTGGTAGTGACATAAAGATAACAGTAGCGTGGACATCTACTTCAAAGGATCTCAGTAGAAATATATATAACATCTACAGGATATATCTAAGGATCTCCGTGGTAGTGACATAAAGATAACAGTAGCGTGGACATCTACTTCAAAGGATCTCAGTAGAAATATATATAACATCTACAGGATATATCTAAGGATCTCCGTGGTAGTGACATAAAGATAACAGTAGCGTGGACATCTACTTCAAAGGATCTCAGTAGAAATATATATAACATCTACAGGATATATCTAAGGATCTCCGTGGTAGTGACATAAAGATAACAGTAGCGTGGACATCTACTTCAAAGGATCTCAGTAGAAATATATATAACATCTACAGGATATATCTAAGGATCTCCGTGGTAGTGACATAAAGATAACAGTATTATTGACATCTACCTCAAAGGATCTCAGGGGAAATATAAATAACATCTACAGGATATATCTAAGGATCTCCGTGGTATTGACATAAAGATAATAGTAGCTTGCAATTGACGTCTACTTGAAAATATCTCGGGGGGGGGGGGAATAAAGATCCATGTACCAGTCAAAGGACATATCTAAGGATCTGAGTAGCTGTGGCAGTATAATCCTCAAAACAAGAAAGATTGTTTCTATATAAGGTCTTACCCTACCATTCACAGAACAAAGAAGGTTGTTCCTAGGGTCTTATCTTACAGCGCCATCCACAAAACAAGGATGGCTGTACTGGTCCTACCCTACCATCCGCAGAACAAGGATGGCTGTACTGGTCCTTCCCTACCATCCGCAGAACAAGGATGGCTGTAATGGTCCTACCCTACCATTCACAGAACAAAAGAATGGTCATTTCTGGTGCTACACTATTATGGTCAGATATGGTTAATGATTCTTTAAAATGCAAAATCCTCTTCAAGCACTCGTGTCAAAAAATGTAGCTTATTGAAATATTAGTTTGAACCCATTTTTATTTTAATGTGTTCTAAAAGGTTGGACTGCCAGTGAGTGGTAGAACCACGTCAGTAGTTAAAACAGGGACAGCCATGTGAGTTAATGTTGTTGGTGAACCTTGCCAAAGACGTTTAAGGCTGGCGTAATGATATGTAGGGCTGTCGGGTTTTACCCCTGAAATATTATATTTTAAAAAATGGACTAACTGGTTGGCCCGTTTTGGTTTTCAAATCATGTAGTTTTCTCTCTTACATAAAACCATGCGTAAATGTGCAATATTGGAGGTGAATATGTATCTTTGTACGTTATGTATGTGCAGTATTGGAGGTGAATAAGTATCTTCAACTCCAAAGGCATCAATTAATCATTACAACTGTTGTATAACATATTGTTTATACCACACGTGGTATAAACTCTAAACGCGTTTTGATTGGCTGACACGGTGAACTTCGACCGGGACTCCTTTGAATGGACAATTTGGCGGGAAAGCCGCTTCATGCGGTGGCAGAAATGATGATACACAGAAAGTAGTTCGTCATTGTTTTTGTGATAATAAATTTCTTATGTTGGTTTCTATAAATTTATTGCTTTGAAGACAATAAATTTGTTACGTACTTGTTATGATTTGTAATAAATCATATTATTTCCACATATTCCTGAAATTGTCATGTTTGCATATTAATTAGCGGCATTTTACTACAGGTCATATCCTTACGCCGCATCTGAACACACATGCGAATTTCTAGGTCACACAAACTCGTGGTTGTTTTATATGGTATTTCTTTCACTCGAGTTAGTTATTTTTCAAAAGTTACAAAAAACACGAGCTTTACAACAACCACTCGTTGTGTAACCTATATTTGTACGTTGAATATGTGGAATTTGATCTCTATACAACATAACCATAATATACTGCTTCACATTTTTGTAACATTTTCATGTCAGTATGATATTTATTGAACTGCTTTATCATTCATTGCTTAAATGTGATATTAATTTTCAATATTAATTTTCATTTGACAAAGTATACACATTTGTTTTCCATATAAGAAGGCCAGAAATAAAGACAACTTAAAATACCTGGTATTTGTTCAGTTGTGTTTTTAGACGTGTTATGAATTTTGTCATTAATTTCAAATTACATAGCTGACACAGCCTGTATATATCCGTTACACAGTTATAACAGACCTACAGGAAGTATTGGCGTCACTTCAGGAATAAAGACAATGTAGAATCTAGTATGTTACATTTCCCTAGAGCAATAGGAATCACTTTTGTTAGTTGAGCCATGCAGTAATGATGAATCAACTTTTGGTTATCTTCTTCCTGTTTCTCTATCAATTGTTTTTCATTGTCCTCAAAATTATATGCAATTCAAGTCACATTATCAACCTTTCCAGTCAGTTTGGAACTGAATTCAAAGAATGGAGTTGAATCTTTTTTCCAACGTATACGATTCTTCTCAAAATAATCTTGTTCAATAAATTGATTGTTAAAGCTTTTCATGTGTTAATTTTCTATTTCTGGTTATGGTAATGATCTTCCATTTTTTGACCTAGTGTATATCAGTGAAATTTCAAAGTTGATGAAAGCATTTCTGTCAAATGCAAAGTTTTGCCTTTAGATCAACAAAATACAATAAAACACACAGGAAAGTTTATTTGAATGATAAATGAAAATTTCTGATCGTCCCTGCAGTCTGTTATGTTTTACCGATAAACCAATTGACCACAAGACAGGTTATACAGAAGTGTCGAATTCTTCATGGGAATGTTAACTGTCCACAAAAATTACATGTTGAATGACTACAGTACCTGATACCGTCAAATCAGGGGTACAGAACATCTCATTCATTGTTTTACTTCAAGACATTTAGCTAGTCATTTGTTCCTTAATAACAGAATTTAGACCAAATCACCGTCTCTATGGCTTTACATAATAAAAAATTACCCTCTCTATGGCCTTATAATTACATAATATAAAATTACCTTCTCTATGGCCTTACATAATATAAAATTACCCTCTGTATGGCCTTACATAATATAAAATTACCCTCTCTATAGCCTTTCATAATATAAAATTACCCTCTCTATGGCCTTATAATTACATAACATAAAATTACCTTCTCTATGGCCTTACATAATATAAAATTATCCTCTGTATGGCCTTACATAATATAAAATTACCCTCTGTATGGCCTTTCATAATATAAAATCACCCTCTGTATGGCATTACATAATATAAAATTACCCTATCTATGGCCATAACAAGAGGCCCAGAGCGCCTGTATTGCTAACCTGGATAATAAAGCAACATAGCAAATAATTCTTATTAAATAAAATCCCTCCAATGGTGCAGAAGAGGAAAGCTTTTTAGGTCACCTGAGACAAAGTCTCAAGTGACCTATTGCGATCGCCTTTTGTCCGGCGGCGTCCGGCGTCCGTCGTGCGTCCGTAAACAATTTACATTTTCGACTTCTTCCCCAAAACTCCTGAACCAATTTCAATGAAATTTTTACAGAAACCTTCCATGGCCTAAGGTCAACAAAAAAGTGGCCGGTTTGGTCCCCAGCCCCCAGGGGCCTGCGCGGGGGCAGGTCCAAAAAGTGTCAAATTGACTAAAATTTCAAAAATCTTCTTCTCAAGACCCAGATCAGGTAGAATCAAATACTCTTCATAGATGGAAGGGTCTTAAAGTGCTTTACCAAAATTGTGAATTTCTTGACCCTGGGGTCTCAAGTTTCCCCCTTGGGAGGGCGTAAACTTTACTATAGTTTATATAAGGAAATCACATTTTGGACCAACATTTGTTTAATTTCCATTGGAAGTAATTTAATTTGGGTTAGTACTATCTGTATTGGATAGCAGTTTGATGGTATGCACATATTAGCACTGACTGACCCCCAGGGCTAATGAGTGGGGCCAAAAAGGGTTGAATTGACTGAAATTTCTAAAATCTTCTTCTCAAAGACCCAGATATGGTAGAATCAAACACTTTTCATAGATGGAAGGGTGTTAAGGTTTATGACCCTAGGGTCTCACGTTAACCCCTTGGGAAGGATGGGGGCAAAATTTATTATGGTTTATAATGGCAAATGATACTTTGAATATTATATGTTAATAACTTGATTGGAATTATAACCCTGAGTTGACAGTTTGATACTATGAAAAAATGAAGCCAATCCTACCCCCAAGGGCTGTAGCTATAGGGTGGGGCCTAAAGGAGTCAGTGTGCTAAAATTTCTTCATTTTCCTTGTTTAGAATCAGAGGTGCTAGTTTCAAATACTCTTTAGTCTTAAATCTGTATGCTAGATATTGAATAAGGTGGTTTTATTGTTTTTTGTCACTTTGAAGAATTATTCTGTTCGTGTTAAAAACAAAATCAACTCTCTGTATAAATATATCAGGTGACCGTTAAGGCCCATGGGCCTCTTGTAAAGATTTAAACCTCTAATTTCCCTAATTAGGATAAAATTTCTTAATCCCAACAGTAGAAGAAGATTTTTAAAGGTTTTACCTCTATTTGGTTCTGTCCCAGGAGGGCCACACCCAACGTTTATACAAAATTTAGTCCCCTTTGCCCTAGGATATTCCAGACCAAATAAGAATAAAATCCCTTTATCGCTATGGTAGAAGAAGGACCATGGTGAACTTATGGCATACCGCAGCTCGTCCGTTGTCCGTCCATCAACTTTTCCTTTAAAACACTACTTGTCCTGAACAGCCAAGTAGATTTTGACTAAATTTGGTCAGGAGCATCCTTCGGGGAAGGGGAACAAATTTTGTATAAATGGTGGGTCTGGCCCCCCTGGGGCCCTGGGGGCTGAGAGGTGGGGCCCAATAGGGGAAATAAAGCAAACTCTTTAAAATCCTTCTT